GGAAAGAGAGATTGTTGAATTTGTAGTCAATGTGTAATGCATTGACAGATAAATATTGAATATCAGTATCTTACAGGTTTATTACAACTTCTTTCAATTTTTGAATGAAAATGAGAGTATATTATTATGAAGTTTCTATAATGACTTTCAGGATATAGATTGAGCATGAATCTATTTTGGGTTATTGTAGATTAATTGATGCAGTTATTGGTAAAGATATTTCATTTTCACAACATACCTTGTGTTGTTATGCTCAGGAAGTATATATACCTGATTCTCCATGTATATTGGTGGGAGCAGTCTATTGAGCTTAAGAAAACTCTTAATTATGTTGAGGAGTCAATTCATATTGGGTAACAAGAGGATTCCATTAGTCAAGGTATTATAGAAGAGCTACTCAGGCGAGAAAGTTATTTGTGAAGTAGATAAAAGGATGAAAATTTAATATCTTCATTTGTTCTCACAAGGTATATAAATTTCGAAGATGAAATTCTCTTAAGAAGGGGAGAATGTAATTACCCATAAAAAAAATTATTATATTATTTTGGTGCATTGGCTACCTAGAAGTAATATATATAATTAAAGAAGAATAATATATCTTTAATAAAAGTCTTACCCTAGAGAGACCTATTATGACTCTTATACGTGTGGTTTAAAAAAGATAATATTTTTGGATAGGTCAAACCCTTATATATATAAAAATATTTTAGATTTGTAGGGTCTTTTGGTAAGAAGACTTGTGGAAAGTCTATCAAGTGAACAAAGAAAAAAAAACGTGAGGGAGGTAGAAAGAGATAGAGAAGGAAATAAAGAAAAAGAAAAAGGGAGAGTTGGATTCATTGAAAGTAAGTGAATGCATTATTTATTTTGTGAGTTTTGTATTTTATTATATCACATGGTGTTAGATTTCACATATATATATATATATACACAAATAATTTTGAAGATATTAAGTTGAATTTGAGTGTATAATTATTTGAAATTTGATTGAGTTTAATAGGTTAAAAAAAAAGAAAAGGATTTAGACTTTTCTTTAAAGTTGCAGAACGTGGAAGGGTTGGTAGGTTGAAGAAGACAAGTCCAAGAATTATGCCATCTACCCCTTTGATTTCAAAGAACTTATTTTGACCTCTAAATTTTTCTAAACTTATTTTTAACCACCTTTTTACTTAGTAAGTTGCAATAGTAGAATTTTGGAAAATTTATGGCAGCCCCGAAAACAAAAAATTCGTTTTTAAGGAAATTATACTTTGACACCCAAAGTTTCAAAAATTATGATTTGACCCCAAAACTTTAGAAACTTTTTTGTAAATAGTCCAGAATACTTCCATACCCTATTAACTCGTATTAGAAAAGATATTTATATGTAAAAGATATATTAAGTATATATCAATAGGTAGGAAGTATAAAAATTAAATATAAAATTGTGAAATGACGAAAGTTAAGAATAGAGATTAATTGTTATATGTTATTTTGGATTAGGTGGTGATTGCATTGAAGTTAAGAAAGAGTGCTTTGAATTAGATTTTGGGAATCAATGTGAGTAGTTTCTACTTTTTTGGGGAGATTTGTTTATATTAAATGTGTGAGTTCGTGCGTGTCAATTTTTCATATATATGATATATGTATTGATGTTTGGGATTGCAATTAAATGATTTGAAATTGTAAACTGTTATACATGTGAATTTTGGAAAACTTTGTGGGATGATTTTATATCAATGTTTTGGTGATGAAAGGAAAATTTTGTGTGCGTTGAGACTAAAACTACAGTTTTGGTATGCTTGAAAATCATGTTTATGAGATGAAGATTGGGTTACCATGTCTGAGTGATAACAAGATTGTATACCGGCGTAGTCGGTATAGGGATGTGCACATAGGGGCCAGTTATCAGCCTAGTAATGACATGAGACGGGGCCAGTTATCAGGCTAGTGGCAAAAAGAGACGTGGTCAGTCATTAGGCTAGTGATGACAAGAGATGGAGTCAGTTACCAGGCTAGTAGTAACAAACATGATTTGATAAATGTATTTGAGACTGAATGTATGTGTGAGTGTTTTGGGTTATAAATGTCTTTTCATTTATAAAGTTATTTGTGATCATGAGATCATTTTATTTACATGATTATGTAGGAGGGATTGAGGTACAATTTATTGTATTTATGTATGTAACAAAGTTTATTTTTGTATATAAAATGTGGGATTTATTTTTATACCTCGTTAGAAGTGGTTGCTATACACGGGCTTTTGTGCTCATTCAAATATTTAACATTTTTCAAATGAGGATCAGGGTGAGGAGTAAGTCTATAAACAAGGGATTAAAGGACTTGAAGATTTATTTTAATGTAGGTCTTCAGGAATAAAAGTCTTTTATAGTTTTGAGACAAATGTTTAATTGTTTTGGGAACAATATTGCTAATGTTTAGAGTAGTGAACCTTACAGTTTAATTATTGTTTTACATTAATTTAGTAATGATGTTGGTGATGTTTAGTTTATTCCTCTAGTATTCATTAGGTCAATGAAATGAATCACATTATTATTTGTCTTTCGCTGTATTTTACATTTATTATACACATGGTTAGTTGGTTAAGGCTTTGGTGGCCGGTCCGTTGCCCACCCTATGTGATCCAGGGTAGGGGTGTGACACCAAGTCTTGGTTTGGGTTGGGGACCGGTTTAGGTTCGGGCTTTGGTTTTGGACCGTGTCTGGGTTCGGGTCTGGGGGTCAGTGTGTGTGTATTTTAGTGAATTAGTGTGTATATGTATTTTGGTGTACTAGTATGTGTATATTTTGGTGTATTAATGTGTGTATCTATGTATATGTGCATGCATATTTTGATATATTAGAATGTGTGTTTTTTTTGTGTATTAGTGTGTGTGTGTGTGTTTTGGTGCACTAGGGTGTGTTAGTGTATTTTTTGGTGTAATAGTATGTATGTGTATTTTAATGTACTAGCGTGTATATGTGTGTGTTTTGGTATTAGTGTATGCATTTTGATTTTATTACTTTTGTTATTGATAAATAATCAATTCAATGTGGTAGTCATTTGTAATACATCTTAATCCGCTTAATTAAATTGAGTGTTATTGAAATTTATTTAGAAGTCACATCAATGAATATAAGTACCCAACCCATTAATTTATGGATAGATTGAACTAGTTAATCTGTAATGTGTTAAAATTATCACATAATCACACCAATTTAGTCAAATAATGATTAGTTTATATTCTCGACTTAAAAAAATGTACAAGATCCAAATAATAGATATATTAATTTCATTTTCGCATATTTTGATTCTTAACAATATATTAGCTACTCTATTTTTTTATTGTTTTGACAAAATTATAACTTAAAATGGTTCACATGTCCGTGCACTAACTAGTCTATACTACTAATAAAAATGCCTTAATATGAAAAACTTTTGATTCACTCTATCCTTCTACACTTAATATCTAAATTATCATCATATTTTTATACATTTAAATCTCCAAATTACATCTAAGATCACTTTTAATTATATATTCCCTGTGTATAAATGTCGATTTTTATGAAATTTTTTGATTGATTATATTATTCTTAAAAAATATATGTATCATTATAAGTTTTAACAAAATATTCAAATAAACTTTCAAAAATTCCATAAATATAATATTATTCACCTTATTTATAAAGATAATATTATGACTACGTATTTATATTTTATTTTTCATTAAAATGTTTAACCCTTTTATTTTTAAGATAAAAAATAATGTATATAGTTTTACATAAATTTTTAGTCGTAGTAAACTTTTCAAAATGTGTTAAGATTTTATGTGAAAACTTGATTTCTTTTTTTAAATTTTAATATGCTTTATAATATGTATTATAGCATTGTATATTAAATTTTATCTCAATTGACCTAAATACTTCTAAATAAAGTAAGGTTCGAATATGATTGATATATTGATAATTATTTTTATTTTGTTCAATAATTTATAAGTGAAATTTTAATCAAATTAATTTTCTACAAATATCAATTTTTATGAAACTTTTTAGTTGATTGAATTACTCTTAAAAAAATATATGCATTATTATAAGTTTTAACAAAATATTCAAAAAAACTTTCAAAAGCTCCATCAAATATAATATTCCTCATCTCATTTATAAAGATAAAATTATGACTATATATGTATATTTTATTGTTTATCAAAATGTTTAACTATTTTATTTTTAAGATAAAAAATAATGTATATATACTTTTACATTATTTGTTAGTTACATAAACTTGTTAAACTGTGTTAATTTTATGTGAAAACATGAATTTTTTAAAAAAATTTAATATGCTTTATAATATATATTATAACATTATTTATTAAATTTTATCTTAATTCACCTAAATAAATCCTAAATACAGTAAGGTTCTCATACGATTGACATATTGATAATTATTTTTATTTTATTCAATGATTTTTAAGCGAAAGCTTAATCAAATTAATTTTAAAAAATTTAATTTTCAAACATCGCTAAAAAATCACTTTCAATTACAAAATTATTGAAACAAAATAAAACTTTAATTATTTCTTTTTTTTTTTATAATTTTTCTTAAAGTTAGAACAACAAATCTTGAAAATATACACAATTTTCAAAAATTGTATAGTGGAGCATGATAGATGAAAAAATAATTTTGATAAATTTGAGATGATATTTAATTTAAATACATATATATTAAATATATATTTATTAATTTTTTTAAAAAAATTATTCAAGAACAACGTGATACATTGCTAATACACATAAAATAGTACAAAAATAAAAAACCTACATCAAAAAATTTTATTGGACAAAGCAACTAACGTATGATTTTGGATAAATTAAATTTTTGCAGGTCTTTTCGTACAAAGAGTCATTCACCCTAATTTTTAAAACTCAATTTCTTTGTTGTTATGTTTTCATTGCAGGATATAAAACTCAAATTTCCTTGAATTTGCTGTTTTGGGTTGATTATATTTTGGGTCTTTTAGAAAAATGGATGATAGGAAGCATAGAGTCAAAGGATTGGTGAAGAAAGTAAACAATCATTCTCATCCTCTTTTTCTTGTGGTAAATCCACAGGCCAAGGTAGAGTCTTGGCACAGAATATTTTATCAGAGTCTTGGACTCTTGGGTTCACCTTATTCAGGCACCGCCAACCAAATCCTAACTAATCGCCCATCCAAGGCTCTCAATTCTGACCCAACTAAACCCTTCTGTTCCATCAATTTCAATGCCTTTGCATCAAGAAACAAGGAATAAATACAAAAACATGCATGAAAAGCTGATTTTTTTTTGGACTCAAAATGCAAACCAGCAAATGGGTTTGATCCATTTGACTCATTGATCACTTCTGGGAAGTGGGAAGAGAAATCCAAATGGGTATTCTATACAAGTGTTTGATTGTCCAGTTTGTGGCCGAGGTTTAGGGTCAGAACAAGAGGTGTCAGACGAGTTGTAAGTAAATCAGAAGATAATGATTTTGGCTGACTTGGAGGATTTGGAGGGTAGTGAAAGTGGTGAATGTGAAAACTGAATTGGAGTTTTCTGTTGTACACATGTTTCGGNGAACACAGGTTTCGGGGGAGCCAACCAAGCGGTCCGTTGAGGTTGTGCTTAAGCTTCTGAATAATGTAGTTAGGCATTCAGAAAATGCCAAGTTTAGGAACACTGGGCAATCCGCAGATAAGGGAGGCTTTGAGTGATGTACCAGGAGGACTGGAGTCGTTGGAATGTGTTGGGTTTGATCTGAGAAAGGAAGGTGGGGAGGTGTGGGCACTTATGGGAGTCCCTCAGAGGAGCGAATTGGTCAAATTAAGAATGCAATACTGTTGCTAGTGTTACAACATTCAACTCAAAATTAATGGACAATGAATGGAGAGGCCCTAAGCATATAAACCAACCTTGGGTTTGGGTAGTCCTAATCATTCGATGGTGGGTCTTTCCTGCAAGAATCACAAAATGTTGAAGATTTGGCATCTAACGGCCCAGTTGAGGTAGATGTACCTGTTGAGCCAAATAAAGTAGATAAACTGGTAAATTATTTTGCTATTATCTGCTGCAATGTTGTATAGTATGATAATTCTTTGTTCCTTGTGCCATAGTATTAAAGCACTTACTTTAGGCTTTGAGTTTTACCTTGACATTTGTTTCAGGCTTTGAAATATGTTTTGCTCTGAATCCGGGTTTCATTGGATGTAATTGGATCGAAAAGGATTTTAAGTAAAAGGAGAAAAATAACATTTATTGTTCGGTCTGTTGGTGCTTCACTGTCAGGGAATTGTTTCTTACAACTGGAAAATTAGTTGTCTTCTTCGTAAATCATTGAAATTGAGTAATATTTTTGAAAGAATGTGCACTTGTTTCTTGATGTATATGTAGTAAAGAAGTTCTGCTTGAAAGAAACACATTCTTCTATGAAGGATATCAGAATCTTATGTTTGGGGAGATAGGGTGCGATACAATCGTCAAACAAAAATATACCAAGGATATTGGCATGGGTTTTGGCTTCCTAGCGTTTATCATGTAGAACNAGAAACACATTCTTCTATGAAGGATATCAGAATCTTATGTTTGGGGAGATAGGGTGCGATACAATCGTCAAACAAAAATATACCAAGGATATTGGCATGGGTTTTGGCTTCCTAGCGTTTATCATGTAGAACAAATGAAGGAAGGGGAATTCGACCCCTAGCTCTTAGCTTGAATGGTATCTCTGGCCATACCCATGGTGGAGGTTCAATTTTCTAATCTAGGTTAATACTTGTGTGATTTTTTTTTCATTAAATACAGGCGGAACACTTTTTTGAACAATAAAAGACAGGTAAAATTGAAACAGGACAAACACACAAGTTGAAAACAAAAACCCTGTCACGGATGTTAGAAATGGTAGTACTCAGTTGATACTCGCCATAAAAGCGCATTTGCCAAATCTGACATAAGATTCTGACCATGAATGGTCCACTGTCTCACCTTTTTTCACAATCACATACATGCTTGTGAAGAAAGTTCTGGGTGGTCCTGCCTGAATTCTATATTTATCATGATCAACGATCGAGGTAAATATTTAACTTAAATGGAACAGTGGAGAATGAATTGATGTGGAATAGATTTATGATTATTGTCGTTGACAATAAGAGATTGAGTGAAAAAAAGAGAAATTTTTTTATCAGACTGTGGAGCCAATATCTGGAATTCTTCACAGTTGGAAAAATTTCACCTCCTCTGGAAGCTTTCGAAAGGTCTTCCTCAATCTCCTGATCATTTTACTGCAAAAAGTAAACACAAAATGGCAGTCAAATGTCACAAAAAGCTGAGGGAGCTGAAGCAAATGTTTGCTATAGAACTATTCCCAGTCTTGTCTGGTCAACACAGTCTAGAATCAGTACAATAAGAAAGCTGTGTTTGACGAAAGATCTTTCCAAATTAAGTGTGATAACTAATACAAAGAGCAAGCTTGACATGACAATTAAACTTATGTAAGCTTGACTGTTGAATTTTCGATTATGGGGGTTTTCTGTTTCCCTGGCAGATATGCATCATCTTGAATGAACCAAACTTACTTTAGGATGTTGTGCATGGATAACTCATGTCCCTAGAGAAGCTTCAAAGACATTCCCTCATAATGTCCTTATGTCTCTTCATTGAACTCTATGGGCCCGGACCAGATGACAAATCATAGGCCAATTAACTCTATGATAGTTTTTAGAATATTTTATATCCCGTTCGTGTTACATTTGGACAGAGAGATGGAGGAGGGGGAGGGGGGAATAGGTTGTCTTTGAGAAGGGTTAGAAATAACTTACAAAAACTGTCTTTTGGTTTTTTTTTTGGGATGGCAAGGAAGGCGTTCGGTCTTTGTGAATAGTATGGAAACTAGGGATATTGCTGGGTTATACATGCTAATGTGTAGATGAGTTGTAGCCAAGGTCTCTGAAATGTTAATCTCTTGGCTTTACAGTTTGGAAAGCATATTCAGAAACATTTTACCCTTTCAATTCAAATTTGAGAAATCAGTGAATCAGAGTTTGTATGCGTAATAGTTTTTTTTTGAATTTAACATTAAATAACAAACTTCGACTTTCTTAGATGACTAGTATTAGTGTAACAAATTTTAAAATCAATTCGAGAACTTATGAATTTTAACAGTCAAGGTATCAATCGAATGTGTCTGGGGCAAAAGCCGGCAAGGGGAGCCGCCTATGTTTGTCTAATTGTCTACATGACAGCCTCTAGGGTACATCTCATCTTGGCCTTTGTTCATGTCTTATCATTTTTAGGTAGTGCCATTTTCGAGTTATNACAAACTTCGACTTTCTTAGATGACTAGTATTAGTGTAACAAATTTTAAAATCAATTTGAGAACTTATGAATTTTAACAGTCAAGGTATCAATCGAATGTGTCTGGGGCAAAAGCAGGCAAGGGGAGCCGCTTATGTTTGTCTAATTGTCTACATGACACAGCCTCTAGGGTACATCTCATCTTGGCCTTTGTTCATGTCTTATCATTTTTAGGTAGTGCCATTTTTGTCGTGCCATTTTCGAGTTAAATTTTTTTTGTGTCATGTTTGTGTTTTCTTTGTATAACCCATTTACTAAAAGTCATAGATCAGGACTCCCTTTCTCTCATTCAAGTCAATCACACAATAGGTCACCATAAATTAAAAATCTATTCGATCTCCATTCTAGTAAAACCAAAACAAAAGTCATACAATTCTTTAATATTTTATACAATTATAGATCATGAAAGCAATCAGACAATTTTTTTTTCTGGAAATTCCAGTTAAATGGATTTATCATGTCAAACTCGAGTTATCCATATTGAATACTAACCCGACTCATTTAATAGGCACGTTAATTGGTTATGTCATTTTCGAGGTCATGTCAGGTCAGGTTCCTATTTGTTATGTTGTCATGTCCAAAATTAACATCCCTACCTCACAGCACAAAGATCTGCTTTCTTGGTAACATTCATTGTGGTTTCTTCTGGCATCTTTAAGTTGTTTTTGATTCTATTTATTGAAAAGATGTATTCTGAATCAAATTACAAATAATCTGACTGCAATCCAACAGTTGACAATAATTGGTAACATATGGCCAACCCAATGACTTAAAAGTTTTGATTATCCCTCCTTATGAGATATATCTCTTTCATACCCTGCTAAGCACGTAAGTCTTTTCTGCAACAGGATCTTTCTTACACCTCCATCTGAGCGTGTCCCCTGGGAAAGACCGAACTGCATCATGCTTCAGAGTTTGTGGGCCACTCTGCTGCAAACTCTGGTCTGGATTTTATTTTACGTAGCTGAAATAAAGGAATCGTTTGGGCTGATTAGGGAGTGTCTTGTGGATGAAAAGACTGTGCGNCTGCTAAGCACGTAAGTCTTTTCTGCAACAGGATCTTTCTTACACCTCCATCTGAGCATGTCCCCTGGGAAAGACCGAACTACATCATGCTTCAGAGTTTGTGGGCCACTCTGCTGCAAACTCTGGTCTGGATTTTATTTTACGTAGCTGAAATAAAGGAATCTTTTGGGCTGATTAGGGAGTGTCTTGTGGATGAAAAGACTGTGCGATATTGTACTTTAAGTTGATGATGCTCAGGGCGTTTAGTTTGCTTAGTGCCAGCACTAATCAGATGATCAATAGCTTACTGGCTTTGCATTTGACATGATCTTTCCATATTTATTTAGATAATCTATATTAGGTTAGTTCCCCTGCACTGTTTCCTAAACAAGTGGCTGCAGTAAATCTATATGTTTTGCCTATCATTGCAATCGTTGCTCTATCCAACATGTCTTCCTAACCAACCATATAATCTNATTTATTTAGATAATCTATATTAGGTTAGTTCCCCTGCACTGTTTCCTAAACAAGTGGCTGCAGTAAATCTATATGTTTTGCCTATCATTGCAATCGTTGCTCTATCCAACATGTCTTCCTAACCAACCATCATAAGTATATGTAATGCCCTAAATTCATTGACCATATTTGTTGGGGATATTAAATCCTGGGAAAGTAGTGTAAATTCATCAGTGCTTGCAGCACAGAGATGTATGTCCTAGATAATGTGCGTTGGTCATCCTCTCAACCAAATCGAATTGGTTCTGAAAGAATGATAATACAGTATGAAATCCAATCAGAATTTTGTAGTGGTCAATTATTCATTAATGATCTCTAATCAGTTCCTTGGGGGTCAAATTCATAGACACTTATGTTCAGATTCGGTTTGGGATGAGTTGCTATTGATGAATGTTTTGAATGCAGATATATCCAGTGTTATGAAAGTCATGCCTAGGGGAGAGGCAAGCCTAGGTCTCCTGGCAAAGTCCAAGCGAAACGATGTTCAATGAGGCAAAATTAAAGCAACCAAAGGGATCACTTTTTCGCTTAAGTGCAAAATGTCCAGGTGAGTGCTTTAGTGAAGTTTTTTAAGTTGCTTCCTTTGTCTATTATGAACCGTTAGATTGATCAATTGGATTTTGATATGCCCATAACAACCGATTGCCCTTTATCCCTATATATGTCTCATGACTAAACCCTAATCGACCCTGAATTTGCAGTGGAGACCATAAGTTGCTACTAATTCTCTTCTTCTCCCCTTTTTCTTCTTCTGTGATGGTGCTACTGGAATTCTGCACTTCTTTTTCTAGCTCGAACTATATTTTTCTATTTTTTTGGCTGGAATTGTATTTTTTTTTTACTATAATTTTGCTTTATGGAAGCATTAGCTAGATGTTTAGTTACTTGAATTGTGTGTTTTACAGTTCCAAATATTAGGATTTGGGGCATTATTCATATTTTTTTTGGAATTTAAATGTTTATGCTATGGTTACCGTTAAGATTTGAGATATTATTATTGGTTGTTTGAATTTAAATGTTTTTGGTTTTTTGGTTGCATTTGAATATTTAACATTTGTGAAGGTAGAACTTGAATATACAAATAATTGAACTAAAATATTTGCTTGTTTTTATACCGTTCGCTTTACTTCGATGAAGCGCTTGCTTCTTGCCTAGGATTCAGGAGACCGGTTCGCTTTGGTTCACTTTACGCCTTAAATAACACCGGAGAGAACTGCATAAATTTTCTTTTGGAGTATCCCCAATGAATCTAGTTATCTTCCCAAGTTAGAATACTTAAAGAGTATTTAGCCTTATCCAGCAGAGTGAGCATTTAATATATGCAAACAATACTAGTATGGTAAAGCACACGGGATTAACAGGAACAAAAACTACCTTGCCCAAACTATTTGGCAGTAATTATTGATTTTTGATTCATTAAGCCTTTTGAGAATGAGAAGTCTCATGATTGTTATCTTACTGGAAGTTATGAGTTTATTATATATCTTTTTTTTTTTTGTGTGATAAAGGAAATCCTACTTTCTTGCATACTTTCAATTGATAGTGGTATGGTTTTGTTGAGTTGAGCAGCTATGCTTTACCAAACCTTTTCTTTGCTGGTCTCACTGTATATAAAGTATGCTCTCTGTGTTACGTTTAACCATTAATGATTCATTTCTTATCATTTTCAGCTCCTGATATTTCTCATTTATGAACATAATAGATCCGGATCTTCTTTGTCCCTGAACATGCCAGATTCTTTGTAGTCTTTCACTTGAAGAACTGAAAAGAGAAATGGATATGAGGAAGAAAAAGAGAGGTTTTTATTTCTAAGTCATACAATGAAAAGCAGGAAAAAGCTGCAAGGAAGAGGTACACCAAAAATGTAATCAGGGTGCAGTTTCCTGATGGAGTGCTGCTTCAAGGTGTCTTTTCTCCTTTGGAGCCAACTACTGCTCTCGATGAGGTTAGATCTTTTAGTTGCTTCTATTACTTTCTATTTGTTGCATTCGTACTTTCCTGGAGACCATGCACACCAAACGGTGTAATTGACTAATAGTCAAAGATATCGTTGATGATTTGATTAGAAAGATAGTCCATTGATGGTTCTGATGGAATAAAAGTGAGATATTTTTATAGTTGTATTACTTTTTCTAGCATTTAGATAATATTATCTTACTATCTCTTTAGTTGGCATCAAATATTTTTATCCGAACTTATAGTGTATACTGTGTTAGTATGATCTGCACTCCATGTGGCGAAGAAAGTTGCCAAGCTCCTGAATGTAACTGTATTGGTGGTGGTGAGCAATGTCAATACTCTCTCAGAAACCTTTGTAGAGAGAGAGATCTCAAGTCTTGTGAAGGAGAGAAGAAAAATGACACTGATTTCAAACTTCATAAACTCGCACCAGAAACAAAGAGAGCAAAAGAAACTTTCATATTATAACCAAAATATTCACTTGACGATTTTCGCATGCACATTAACATACATTTTATGCCCAGCCATCAGTTGAAAACCCACTTTCATGTGCCTCAGGTTAAGTTGTGGAGAGTGGTAAAGTAAAATCATTTATTTTACCCAAACAAGTAAATCAAGTGCAAGATAAGACAAAAAAGTGTGAAGTTGTTTGCTATAACCTAAGAGCGAGGGTTGAACATCTATAATTATGTTTTCTTATTTTGCTGGCATGTTTGATTGTTTACTTATTGAAATTTCACATGCTAATCCTTCCTGACTTTTCACATATTCTTAGACGCATCAAATATATTGGATTTAGCGATGTAACATGTATAGGAGAAGACTACATGATTGATCAAGACCGTCGAAAACAATGTTGATCGGGCATCAATCAGGGCTGATTTTGGGCAATAGTGTCTGAATATTATATAAGATCCCATTCTGGAAAGTTTTCAGCGGAGGAAGATTGAAGTTAACTCAATCTTTTTTAGCCAAAAAACGAGTTTGGAGCAATTTTCTATTTTTATCCCGTTGTTTTGGGTATTTTTGTAATATTGCGTATTTTCTTGGTTTTTCTAGTAATTTAGGACCATTAGGATTTCTTATTTATATTGTGGTGAAAACTTATTTAGCATTTTTGATTTATTTTGAATAAAAATTTGGAAACAAGTTCGTTTTTTCAATTCTCAATTGACTTGGTATTCTTAGGAATTAATAAGGCTCTTGAAGACTGTAATTTGGTATTATTGCGATAATCAATAGGTTATAATTTCTGTTGTCTGATTTCGTTTCTCTATTCACACTTCCTTGCTTCAGTTGGTATCAGAGCCTATACTCGTTCTAGCCCCATGCCACAAAGAAGACGTCATGCTGTTGTACGACAGGCTACTGTCAGAGATATGTATGAGCGTGATAAGTTTGCTAGATTATCACATCAGGTTGCGGTGTTGACCCAGCAATTTGTTGCGTTCATAACCCAACAACAAGAATGGGTTCAACCTCCAAATCTGTGCCATGTGGATGAGGAATCTACTAAAGACAAGCTTGAAAACCTTTTTGGTGAAGATTAGCTTCGAATGAGGGAGATAAAACCTGTGGAAAACAATGGCGGTTCAAAAGGAAGGGAATTGGGTCTTAGAATTGATATACCCGAATTTCAGGGTTGTTTACAACAAGAAGAATTTCTAGATTGGGTCAGTGTTGTGGAGGAGGTGTTGGATTTTAAGGAAGTTCCTGATAATAAATGTGTCCCAGTCGTCACGACTAGGTTTCGTGGTCAGGCTGCTGTTTGATGGCAATAGTCTAAACTTACATGAGTGTGGTAAGGGAAGAAGAAGATTTACTCACGGGAGAAACTCAAGAACCATACGAGGATGATGTATCAGAACTTGCAAAATTTATGCCAAGGATCTTGCACAATGGATGAGTACACTGTGGAGTTCTATCAGTTGGTGGTGGTCCGCAATGATCTAGCAGAGACAAAATTACAACTAGTATCATGTTATATCGGGGGTATGCGGTCCCAGTTTCAAGATACTCTTAATTTATTTGACCCTTATTTTGTTTTTGAAGCACACCAATGAACACTATAGTTGGAGAAACAATTGAATTGTAGATCGGGCAAAACTGTCTGGTGTTGCGGATGTAGCAGTCTTCGCAATAGAAGTGCTGCTCTTTTTCCTTCACGTGTAGCGCTGCCACCATCTATGGCTGCAAAACAACCGGTAGGGGTGTAACATAATAAACCCATGACTGTAGCAATGGGAGTGAGTGTTTTAAGTGTGGTGAAACTAGCCACGGGATGGCAGAATGCAAGATAAATGAAAGAATCGAAAAATGGTTGTTTGTTGACAATGGAGACCTTGTTGAGGATCAGACTGATGACTTTGAACAAGATCCCATGTTTGATGAAATTGATGACAGTCAATTCCGAGAAGAGTATGTGACAGATAGTGTTTTAAAACCCAGCCCAGCTCGGCGGGTTGACATGGTGAATCGATGAACCGGAGCCTGAATCGGGCCGGTTCAACTATTAGATCATTCGAGCAAAGAAACCTGTAAGAACCCACTGAACCGACTGGTTTTGTGACAAACCCACTAACCCGGTCCGTTTAGATCAAACTGAACATTTTAATTTGATAGCTATAAAAATGAAGTTCTAGGGCATTTTTTCCCAAAATTTTATTTCCTTGCCCTCTGCTTTGGTTCAACGATGATTGCCCTCTGCTCTGGTTCTTCGCGAGCGACGATCTTTTTCTCATTCTGTGCTCACTTTGTACTCAGCTCAGGCCTCAACAGCACATCATTGATCATTCAGCTCCATTGAACTATTGATTATCGAAATCGAAGTACTCAAAATTTCAGATTCATTCATCTCTTCGAATCAGTTCTTCTCAAGACTCAAACAGTAGATCTTTGAGACTTCGACTCATAGGCCACAACAGATCTTCATCCTTCTCTCTCGGTCTCAGGTATTAAGTTCTCGCTCTCTCCTATATGAGGCTGTTTGGTTGGTAGTTGTTGGTTGACTTCTCGTTGTGCTAGTTGTAACTATTTTGGGTTGGGTGAGGTCTTCAGTTCTTGGTGGGTTTGGTTTTGGTGTAGTTCGGTGAGCACAATGAAGGCTTATTTCTATAAGAACCCAAATTGATCTAAAGATATTCTTTGATGAATTCAAATTCGGAAATAGTAAAGATTAACCCATAGAAAAAACAATTCTAGATACTCGACAGTATGCTATTATAGTATGTTTGTAATTGTGCAATTACTTGATTTGTATTAGTTGATTTGTATTTGTAATTTTGTAGTTGATTATGCTATTAGGTGTTGGAACTTTGGAATTGGAAGAACTTAGTGATTTGATATTGGATATATTTGATGATTTTGGAGTTCTTGTTTGATCTAATATAACATTAAGCATGTTATTTTTATAATTATTGTTATTTTTTAACTTATTTATAATTATTTTTTATTTTTTTATTATTTGACCGTTTCGACCAGTGACCCAACGGTTGAACTAGTAATCTATTAACCAAGTCCCTTTGTTGGGTTGATGTCTGGGCCCGTTTTTAAAACTATGGTGATGAGTGACCATGGACCATTATTCGTCGTCGGCGGGACATGTTTCACAATAGAAGGAGTGGAGGGGATGATTGTTTGTGCAACAATATCTTTCAATCCACATGTATAATAGTTGGGAAGTGTGTCGCTTTGTCATTGACTCTAGCAGTTGTGAGAATGTGATTTCGGATGAAGATGTTCGAAAGCTAGGATTGGAGACCGAACAACACCCTGCACCGTACAAATTATCATGGCTCAAGACAGAAATTGAGGTAACTGTTTCTAAACAGTGTTTGGTATCCTTCTCTATTGGTTCAAAGTATAAAGATATAGTGTGGTGCAATATTGTGGCAATGGATGCCTGTCACCTTTTATTGTGGAGACCATGACAGCTTGATAGAGATCTGAGGTATGACGGCCGGAAAATACATATAGCTTTCTGTTTGATGCTATGAAAGTTGTACTCCTTCCTGCCAAAGAGGCTGAACCCTAAACCACTAGTTTGTGTTGGTTCCAACCTCTTATCTATGGCCAAGTTCGAGGATGAGATGATTGACATAGGGGTTGTTTATGTCTTGATCTCAAAGGAGGTCATAGAGGGATCAGTTATTCCCGAGTCGGTACAGTGTTTGATTGAAGAGTTTTGGGATGTGTTTTTTGGTGAGCTGTCTGAGGCATTACCCCTTTTTGCGAGATATTCCGCATCAGATTGATTTAATTCCTGATGCTAGTCTCCCGAAGAGGCCACACTATTGTATGAGTCTAGCAAAGCATGAGGAACTTCGTCGTCAGGTGGAGGATCTCTGGATCACTTGATCAGGGGTCATGTTCAAGAGAGCCTCAGCCCATATGCTTTCTTACTCCGAAGAAGGATGGGTCATGGCATATGTGTGTTGATAGTCGAGTATACTTAGATAGTCGAGCCTCAGCCCATGTGCTGCATCATCTAGTATACTTAGTTACTAATGCGGTTTTTTTCTTGCTGGTCCTCCTTTTAACAATATCCTTTTAGGCCTGCCTCATAGTGCCATTGATGCTAACTCTTTCCTCCATTTCTCCTGGTCTCATTGTTTATCTGAAAGTAATTCCAATAGAGAAACTACTTATCCTTGTCAATTAACTGTTTTGGATGGGGTGAGCAGAATATGATGCATCCGGGGATCAAAATTTTGTTTGGTGCATAGTTTGGAATTTTGATTCTGAAAAGTTGGCCAAAATATTTGGAAATAGTTCCTGAAACATCTCAAATCGTTCAAAAAACCAAATTTTTTTGGCCATTGCGATGAAAACCAAACAAAATTTTGATCCTTGGATGCATCACTGTAACTAGTTTCAGCCTTTGGCCTTTCGATTTATTATGTTTCCCCCCTTTCTGTGGGCTAAGTGGATTTTATTTTAGGTTTTTCTTGCTCTTTTTTGGGGTTTTGGGGATGGTGTTGAAGAAGGCTTGGGAAATGGTTCCATTTAGATCAAGGCTATTTAGGGATATTCTCTTTGAACATTTGTCACTCAACTTCTTTCCTGTTCTTATTGTTTCTTTTATCCCTCAACCCATAAGATACAACATTTCTCCTTTTGATTGATATTGCTGGTTATGAAGAGAGAGAGAGAGAGAGAGGCTGATCAGTCTTACTTTTTTTTTTTTCGAGTCTTGAGGGATGTAGACTCCTTTTGCATTGAAGTCAACATTACTGTGCACTCATCTCTTACAAAATAGGGTTTTGGAACTCAGATTTGGAGTGTTAAGTATGTGTTATTAGTCAGAGTTGGAGTGATGAGTTGTCTGTTTGGCAGCCTACGTAACGTTCTTGCAAGATCTCCATACTGCTAAATTATTTCTCCCATAATGTAATTTTTGCTTATTTCTAACATCAAAACTTTGTATTCCCTCAAATTTTCTTGAATGCTAGAAGTGGAACCTTTTAAGTGCATTTTTACATGTTGCATCTATATATTTTTAACCGATTTGTGTGCTTCTATTATGTCTTCATACTTATTTGGTGAGCTTAGCACTGAAAGAACCCAGCTTGGAGTTGGAGCTGTTACATCCTCTTGTTATGAAATGGTGGATGCTCCCACAATTTCTGTGACAGAGAGAGCGAGCGAGTTACAAGACTTGAACAGGAGGATTTGATTCCTGCACTTCTTATAAAGTTCAGACTTATTGGAACAGATTGCGTCGTTCTCACAGGTATCTGTAAGGAACTCCTTGAAATCTGTGAACCTCTTCTAACTGATTCAGCAGTTCCTCTAGTATAAACTCCATCTGCTTTTCGGTAACTCTTGCTGCATCATGCACCTTGGGGCAAGTATCTATCCCTGAAAATAAATTCAAACAAAACTAAAAAAAGGGGCTTGGGGTAATTTGATTTGATTCGATTCAATGGAGTGTCTCCTTTTGAGTTAAGAGCATTGCCATTTTCTTCTTTCTGGGTGGTTAAGTTATGATTATATTCCTGCAATCTGACTGAATGTTTTTAAGTTTGTCCTTTCTCCATCAATTGATTGTTTTGAGCTGCGAGTAATGGCTTTGGAATAGTATGTAAGAAACTAGGTTGATCATAGACGAAGAGAGTTGAGTAATTGGGTTATCTTTCTACCAGGTATGAAGGAGAAAGTAGCATCGAAACAATGAAGGAAATGGGAAATGAAAGGGCTTCAGTTGACTATGATATGTTTCAATCAGATTTCACATATATTTGAAACACCTGCGAGTAGGGGTGTGAATGATTCGGGTTCTCTTGTGTTTCTATATTGTGTCATGTTAAATTTCTTTTACTCTGGCGGATCCACCTATTATGAGTTGAACCGTTAATAAGATGAAACCCAACTCACTAGTTATGGGCCAGGTTCCCGGATCTTGTACAGAATTGTCTGGCGTTAGCAGCAAGAATTTGTGAACTGCAAAGCCTAATGGCAGGTCTCTAGACCACGTTTGATAATTTGCTTGTTACATAATGATTCGTTTAGTTTTGGGAATATCACATGGGAAATTCTTCTTCTGCATGTGTGTGTGTGTGTATATATATGACACACTCGTACTGGAAAAGAAGTTTCTCATGTGAACATAAGATAGTTAGAAGGAAATGCGTTTGAGAAGCAAGCTGGCCTGGTAGTTTAAAAAGGGACTGAAGATCACAGTGAACCATTGACAAGGAACATGGTCTGTCGACTCCAAATGAAGGCAATGTTCCACAAACAAACAAGATTGCAAGAAAGGTTAAAGATTCAAAGTGCAAGAATGCAACGAAAAAGTCAGGATTAACCCTGTGATTTGCAGGTTTTTACATGGTGTTGAAGGATTTTAGGTGGGGATGACAAAGGGTGATGCAGTCCAGAAAAATAAGGGCTATGTTTGATGAGGAGATAAAACTAGTGGAGAGCATTGGTCCAAATCTACAGTAGAAGCGTGACCCATAAGTTGATTTGATAGGTCTACCTTGACCCCTGATTTGGGGATTAAAGTGGACAAGGGAAGTCGTCGGCTTGTACTCTAGGCTAGTTTACTTTCCCCTCACCCAAGTGCATGAGATCAAGAAGGATTTTGGAAGCAAACCCCTCCTACGGTTTGACGATTACTTAAATGTTACGGGTTATATTAGTCTTTGTGTCATAAATACATTAAATGGGAATGAGAAATTATGTGTAACGTTTTTATTCTCTTTAGATAAAAGAGTAAGACAATTTACTATTCCTAAACACGATTTAAATGAGTGTCTTGTACACTTGGTACAATCTATTTTATCCTTTTTCGACTACAAGTACATTGCTTACCTATCATATGAAAAGAAATTACACATCATGTTCTAAAACAGTGATTTTCTGCAGATTTTTAGTGATATTTTCCTTACAGTTCTCATCCAATTTAAAATAAAGTGAATAGATTTCACTTTCAATTGGCCCCTGGTTAACCTGATGTTCTTGAAATAGAAGCAAAACAAT